ATGGTGAGATACTCAAATCAATTTGAAACAAGAAACAAATGCTTACTTTAAGATAGTAAATATTTCTGACATAGACATAGTTGCAAGAACGTTGTGATATAAAATATATAATGGAAACTTTATTTTTACTATTTGTTGACTACATAGAGAATTGTAAATCTCTCTTAAAACAGGTAGTTTACAACTGGCTGCCTGAATTAAGTTATGATAATATGTTTGATATAAGATTAACATAAGTAAATATATATATATAATCTAAAAATTCATTCATTCTGGATTACTCCAGTCTTTATTTCTGGATCAGAAGATTTAGTAAGTGGATCTTTTGGCAATATTCATCTTCTTTAATCATAAACTTCCGATGATTTTTAATGTAGAGTTAATAAATCCGTGAACATTAATTAGTACTAATTATTACTATTTGATACATAATTCATTGTTTTCTATTGTTTAATTATCACTATTTAGTGTTAAATGTTAGTGTTTGTTTCACGGGTTAAGTGCGTGCAGTCTATGATATTTGATTTTTATTTATTTAAATATGACTACATCGTTGTTGCGAATAGGTGTATCTAGATATTAAACAATGCGCATACGTTCATTTAATTTGTCCTTCTTAATCTTATTATATTCCTAATCCGGCCATTTTCAAATCGATCACTGGTAATTTCTGTATTCTGATTTGGTCTCACCAGTGCGATTTAATAACGAATTGCACCACTTTGAGTTTTAAATCGTAAAGAGCCAATTAAATTGCAGAAAACTTTCATTCTCCCAATCGTATCTCATGAATAATAAAAAAATAAAAAAAATAATAAAACAAAGAAAAATTGCAATGAGAAAATTAAGAGGGATTTTATATTCCAGGTGAAAGACAATGACTGAGTTTTACATAAATGTTAAAGTTTTTATCATTGCAGTTTTCAAAAAATATATAATTATGTGGTAACTGAACTTCTTGTCGTACAATTTTGGTCTGAAATGATCAAACTGGAGACTAACAAATTGCACTCAGTTCAAATCACACTATTAATGTAGAATTATTTTCATTGTTGGTATTTTTTTTTCCAGTTTAACTCAATACGTTCTCAAGATCGGTCAATAAATGAACAAGATCTTGCAAGAAAGCCGGCGAAAAAGCTCAGAAGACGATTTCTGCCTACCCGACGTTAATGTATAAATGGATTATGCAGAACAATGTTTTAGTCCGAGAGAATAGGGAAGAAAATAGCCAGAACCCAGACCGTTTCCAAAGCTTATCCCTTGCACTAATTGAAACCAAGCACGTCGATTTTGCAGGAACATAATCTAGTCTATCTGGTGCGGCTGTAATAATTATGTTTTCTGTGTGGCAGATTATTTCCAGCCATTTTCCTAGTTGCCGCCAAGGAGAATTTTTAAATAGTGTCTTTTCTCGGAATGTCTCCATGACCGGAAATCTGCCTCAGAATCAACCTCAGAATGGCTAATGTATTGCGTCCAACAGTCAGACATTCACTACTTTTTTTGCCAAACATTAGCTCTATTAAACATATATATGTATTTTGTGCTTGAAGTTGTTATACGTGCACTATCACTTGTCCTCAGTTGTTGAACTTTTGAATTTTTTTTTCATCTCTAATAATTTACCAAGCTTAAAAAGCTACGTTTTTACTTTTATTGATATATGAGCTACATTATTATTTCTTCTTCTGCAACAACGTATCAAATAAAGTGATTTGACCGCCTCGCGTATCTGTTTAATGCGCCATAAATAGAGAAAGGGGTTTGCAAGCGAATTCAGGGACATAAAAAATACGGTAATGTCGTAAAAAGTAACCTGACTAGATGAGGTTAGAGTAGGATTAAAAATATAGTAAACTGCATGCACAACATAAGGGATATAAAACACAGTGTATAAGCCAACAAATATAACAATAGTCCACAAAGTTTCTTTAAACTTTTTGACATTCGCGGCTGAATGTGGAGCTTTTATCTCATGGTTGGTGTCCACGGAGATTTTCCTGAGAGATCTAAATGCTTCCATGTTAAGTGCTACAATAACACAGAATACGATGGGACCAACAATAGTGACGGTCAAAAACATTGGAAATAGACTCCCACTTGTAAGTAAGGGAACTGCGATAACAAAACAAGCGCACAGCAGAATCGAAAATCCCCAAATTACTCGCCTGATTGTTACCAAAGTTTTGTACTTTGTTCCCTTTTTTATGGCAAGGAGACGATCAATACTAATGAACATCAATGTCACACCAGACACAGCTCCGAGAAAGAGAGACAGTGCTTGCGATAAAATCCCCAGAATGCAATAAGTAAGAGTTGCACTGAAATCCTTCATTTGGAAAAACAAGATGTTCAGTGGCTGCGACACGGCTCCTGTACACAAATCTGATATCGACAGACCAAGGATAAGAATCATTGAGGGCTTCCATAGAGAAGGTGTCTTCCAGATAGCAAATACAATAATCACATTGAAACTTGCTGACGACAACCCAGTTATGAAATGAAGCACTGAAAGAACGAGATGGATATTGGTTTCTATGACTTCAGGACCAAACAAAAGAGAGCGACAGAATTTATCCATATATGTTGTTTTTTATCCGGAATTATGTCTTACACAAATTTTTGTTTGAAAAAAAAAAAAAAAAAGCCGTAATACGTATAGTCTTCGAAGAAAGGAGATTCCAGGCTAAATACAGCTTCGTAAATATAACTAGCAGATGTTTCTAGCTCATTTGTAATACTTAGAGCTGTTGAGTGGCTTAATATTCCGTTATTGGATTGTTCATAACAAATGCAAAGGATACCAATTATTCGATAGACCTGTAATTATGTTAATTACTTAAATCTCAAAACGAATTCCGGAAAAAAGCAGTGAATTTATATTTTTCATCAGGTGCTACCAAATAAAATCATTGTTTGATAATATTGTGAAGGCACACCTGTATATCAGTGAGAATCTATTTCAATGGCCATCAATGGACTGGGGAAAAAAATATTTCAATTTGATGTTAGCAATAAATAAATATGTCTTTCACTTTGATTCATATTTGCCATACAAATTAGACATAGTACTGAGTAGGCGGAAACAAAGATGACTAATAACTTTGTATGCATTTGTTTTGATAAGATCAACTGCTATAGAATAATAATAATGATAATAATAATAATGATATTAATGATAATAATAATAATAATAATAACAAAAATAATTTCGCTCCCTATTACGTTGAATAAAACTTCGAAAGAAAAAAAAAATTAGTGATTATTAGAATACTTTACCATGTTTTTGTGATCGCTTTAGATGTGCTAAACCATGTGTCAATCTATTCCAAAAAGAACTATATATATAAGGAAGCAAGGAAGCAGGAAAGCAAGGAAGGAAGGAAGGAARTAAGGAAGGAAGGAAATAAGGAAGGAAGGAARGAAGGAAGGAATGAAGGAAGGAGGATACAACATCTACCTTTTTTAAATGCTTATATTTTATTTTGAAGTATTATTTCTCGGTTCAAATTAGGAAATATAGCAAATCACGATTGAGAATTTAAACAATAAAATCAACAATATATATATTTTTTAAAAGCATATAAATGCTTTAAATATGGTCGGTTTACGTTATACATGTGTGTATGAGCAGGAGTAACCACGTTATCATAGCAACGTCTCGAGTCATTTTTAAATAATTTTTGGTTCAGTATGGCCATTGGCTTTCCTAATTTTTGAGTGTTGTCATATTATGGCCATATAAGGTGTTTTTATCGGGCATTTTCATTGTCGATGAGTATATGATGAAAAATAACGTATAGTTTCCACGTCCTCAATTTTATAATGATCGCGTAGTTTGTTTGTTTGTTTTTTTTAGAACAAGACACAAAAAATATAAAGAAAATAAAAGAGAGAACGAAAGAAACTGATGTGATCCAACTTAAAAAAAATAAATGAATGAAGAACAAAACAAATATATCTCAATATTACGATTTACTTGTTATAATATCCACTACTCTCAACACTTCCATACTTTCTAGATGTGTAGGCATAGCCCTAGTTTTCAAACAGATAAATATAAGCCAAATTTATATTTATTTATTATTCAATTAACTCCTCCAGGCTTAGCCCACAATTGTTTTCTATTGCAAAAGTGAGACTAAGCCCGCACATTCTAGAAATTAAAGCATTTTTAGACTAGTGAATTCAAAAATAATTATAAGTTGCGAAAGTATTAGTAATATATAAAGACTGATAAACAATTCAAAAACATTTCGCTCAAGTTAGCTGAGTGATCTTGCAGCGACCAAAGCCAGCGTAGACGAGATGTTTTCAAAAATAATATAATAGGGTTACCATGCGACTACACCTTTTCCTCTGTAAAATCATATATTTTACTTTATACACATGTGTGTATGATCAGAATTGAACAAGAAACAGTTAAAAACCCAGAATTTATTCATTCACTGTTATGCAGCGTAAAAAATTTTGATTTGTGAGTTAGATTCACAATTGTTTGGGTAGCCTTGGTTGATGTAGTCGCACTGTAATAATTACTATATTTGATTTTTTAATTACTTTACATGTTATTCTCTAATCAGTACCGCAACGTCCTGCTGGTATCCATAATTTTGGATACTTTAATTTATCGATGGTTCTTATTTCATTTCGATGATTTTTCGTGTATGCTATGCCCAAAATAAGACATGATTCGATAACTAAAATACATTTAACTTTAATCTTGTAATATATATTAGCTGATAAAAAAGAAAGAAAGAAAATAACGAAAGGAAACTTTTTCATTAATATTAATGCTAATTAAATAATATTCCTGGTGTATACCGGTAATCGTGGACACGAAAGAAATTGCGTAGAATTCAGCCAATTAAACACAACGTCCGTGTTTTTTATTTCATTTTATTTATTTTTTATTTAATTTTTAGTTCAGTTCTTATTTACAGTCGAGTTCCGTACCTTTCGCAGACAGGATCAGATCGACCTCTCAGTTCCAATGAAAAGCTGAATATCTCAATGTACGGGCCATAACATCGTGCTAGTACCGCGTGGGCCACAATGAAGCCCGCCCTTACTTTTTCTCTAGTTTTCTTAGCCTACTGGTTCGAGCCTACAATCCAGATTCTAACAAGGCGGCGATTTCTCAAAGAAGCAAAATTCGTTGTAGATTATCTACACCAGTTGTCTATTATCCCGCTCCGTATCCACAACGTCAGTAATTCCTTTCACTGCGCGTTTAAATGTATTGAGTTGGATGAATGCTTGTCATTTAACCTGGGGACAAGTCCTTATGGAGGATCGAAAGAATGCCAGCTGTTGTCTTTTGACAAGTGTGATTCCACACAGCATTTGAAAGCGAGCAAAAACTTTGATTATTACAGTGCTTCCTTGGGAGTGGTAAGTTTTGTTGTTTTTTTTAAATAAGTTAAGGGTGCTCCCGTCAAAGAGTTCCTATTTATTTGGAAAACACAAAAGAATAGGGTTTTCATCATAGGGACATTTGAATAAAAGAAAGAAAGAAAGAAAGAAAGAAAGGAAAGAAGGAAGGAAGGAAGGAAGGAAGAAGGAAGGAAGGAAGGAAGAAAGAAAGAAAGAAAGAAAGAAAGAAAGAAATGACGTCGATTAGCCGGGTTGACATAGGACAACTTTCTCTTGTGTATCTATGTCAAGAGCCCACTGCCATGAGTGACTCAACATATCGTACTGTGCTCATGAAATAATGACAATTTCTTGATTTTTGTTATTAGTTCTCAAATAATGCTTCACATCATGAGATCCGACTGAAACATTGCACCGAGTGTGATCATGTACTTCAATATTTATTATTTACTAAGAGAAAAGGATGAAAAAAAAGCGAATATCATTGATTAGCATAGACCGGTGAGTTTTTTTTTTTTTAAAGAGAGTGAAATGTATTTAGAAAATGATCCACACCCACTACTCGACCAATCATTGCCCAGTAAATCGATGCTCTATATCCCAAGAAACCTAGGTGTCAAGTGGTGGGGTCCTTGAAGCACAGGAATAGTGCGAAGTTATTAATTTAGTATTCTAAGGCTGTGTTTTCACTAGGACAATTTAAACTAGCTTAAATATAACACCGGAAATAAGKCAAAGTTAAACTACCTAGCAAGATGGTTTAAGTTGTCCTACCAAATAAATGGGCCAATCACAGTGTTATTCTTGAAAGGTGGTTGTCGGATTAAAACACCTCCAGGAATTTTAGGCAAGTTAACATTTCTAGTGAAAACACGGCCTAATAATTTAGTGAAATGTAATTAGAAAATAATTAACACCCACTCGACCAATCAGTGCGTAGTAAATCGATGCTGTATATCCTAAGAAACCTAGAGTCAAGTGGTGGGGGCCCATAGAACACTCGCATTCATTCTCTAACCCTTACTTTCTAGAAGCCGCATTAGCTAAAAGTCCTAAATCGTATTGCAATTCTCTTATTGTGTTTCTTGGCTATAGGGGGTCGGTAAGGTGAAAGATGGTAAACGTTCCCATACTTTACGTTACCCTATTTTATATTCGTTCTCAATCAGGTTGTATCGTCGTGTACGGAAATTGTCAGGGGAATTCTATTCAAATCAAATTTGGAGTAATCGGCTAGTAGTCGTACCCTACGATAGCATAAATTAAACTATAATAAAAATTTATATACACATGCTGATGATACATCGTTTAAATATGACTAAAAATGAGACCACACAACAGAATTCGCTTCGTGGTCTAGTGGTTAGGTTTAGGGTTAGGGTTGGGGTTGGCATTGTAGAAGTACTTTGGTGCCGAAGGTACCGAGTTTGATTCTTGGTATCTTCACTTAAATTTTTTCTAAGTGAGGAGAACCAAAATTTCTAAGTCCCACTCGTGTGTTCGGAAACCTATGACGTACTTCGTTAATCCGTACACGACGATAGTACCCTCAATCAGTTCCCAGGCTCGAGGCGTATGTAAGTTGCTTAATACTAAAAAATTGGTTACTTTAGAAACAAATGGAGTGAGTTTTGAAAGTGCCTCTAATAAGCAAAATTATTTTTCATATCCTCAATATTAGTTAATCTGTGAAATTTGAACGCGTTGCGTTAAAAGGAACCAGATTTACAAGCCTTCAAAGGTGTGAAAAAGTGTCCCTGTAACCATAGATTCTTTCTAATGTTCGAGACTTTTGAAAGCCAATAATTCCAGTTCTTTTCATTCGATCTTGTTTAATTCAATTTTGCCAGGCTTACAAATCTTGAGATGCTTTCTCAAATGATGAAAGTTTTCTTCCTAAGATAAGATGAAAAAAAATCAAAACTCGCCCCGGCCACTTATGCTTGTTTCTAACAGGACTGACACGAGACTTTTGGTTGGGAGACTGCCGGATAAAATCACTCCCTGATCAACGTAAAATATAGTTATATCTACACAATACCAGTTTTTTATTTTTTATTAATTAACCGATTTCTCTTCAATATTAAGCCTTTTTTTTTAGAAAAAAATCTAAATTTCAAAGGACTTTTTGGTAGACGTCAATCAATAAGTTATGGAATTTCATAGGCCTTGGAGATCGACTGTTTTACAGTACTAGTTTTCCGCTAAATAAAAGGTTCAATGACAATCATGACAAAAATATCGTTGCCGTTTTAAGGTCCAAGGAAACAACAAGCCTTGCAAAAATGGAGGACAAATTCAGCCTTTCTATTGGACAGGAACATATAAATGCGCATGCCCTACTGGGACCCAAGGGATGCATTGCGGTAAAAATAATATCTGATACCTTTAGTGCCTGCAAATAATTGAAAAGAAACCAAACCTTAAAAAAATCAGACGGACGGGCATATAAACAGACAAGCAAACAATCGAACAAACAATCAAGCAAAGACCGACAAACAGACAGACGGAGGAAGAGGCAGACAGGCGGACATTTAGACTGACAGACAGACAGACAGACAGACAGACAGACAGACAGACAGACACACGGACGGACGGACGGACGGACGGACGGACGGAGAAACAGTCAGACAGACAGACAAACAAGCAAACAAATGAAAAAAAAGCAAAGACTTATCTATCAGGGCGTATTTACTTCTAAACGTTTTCTTTTATGCTACACTGAAAACGTCAATTTTTTCCACACCCACATACTATTCACATACTATTCTGCTAATCTATTTTTTTCTTTCTCTTTCCAAAGAATGGCTGAAATTAACTACGAATGCCATTAACGTGGGGCCCAAAGACAATAAATTTGGAAAGTTTTACGCTCAAAAATCAGGTCAGATAAAGATTTTTAAGCTCGTTCATGTGTCAGGAGGATTGACATGTTGGTATCCAAACACTGCGCAAACTAATTTTGGCTGTGGCTTATATAATAATCCTTATATGTTATGCATGATTATTACAGATGGCAGTAATATTGTGGTTTCCCCTCCCAAAACATATTATTTGGGGCATCCTTATCAATGCTACTACATTTCAGGCGTGTCAAACAACAGTACGGAATTGATCCTTCCCGAAATTTCTCCTGCCCTTAACGTAGTTGCAGGCCAACAGCTAAGAGTGTGGTATGCTGAAGATCTGTTTGATAATGTAGAGACAGACAATAATGGTTTGTTGAGTACGGATGTTTATGCTAATTATGTATAGACAAAATGAAATCAAAGCGGCTGGTTACTGAACCCAGTTGAACAAACCCATAAAATATGCCAGTTATCAGTCTGGATAAATTTAAGAAACGCACTTTTCTGCACCCCAAACCCTTTTTAAAATGTCTCCGGTCAAATTAAAACGCTGCGATTGTTTTTAAGAATCCTAGCCAAGTACAATGCATTTCGCGCCGGAAACGAAATGTTAAGCAAAGCACCATTTCTCTGCCAGGCAAAACGGGCGAATTTGAAGGTGAAGCAATCCAGTTCCATCGCTCTTTTATTCCTGCTAGATGTGTTACGACCATTGTGATAAGGCCATAGTCACTTAAGCGCAAAATTTTGGCAACAATTACATGATATATTTTAAAAAGTTGTGATGTCTAAAAGTTGGACGACCGAAAAATCATAATTTTACAAAGAGAATCACTCTGGAAACTTGAACGAAATCAAAGGAAATTTTGGGGATTTGAGAACATGGGCAGAGTGAATTGGCAGACATTTTGCTCCACCAGTGAAAGGAAGAGCTTCGAGAACGATGTAGGCGATCGAATGATTAATGATCAATTGATGACTAGGATTCTTTAATTAACTAATAAAGTTAATTGCGACCTTCCATTCCTTGTGTTAGATTGCCTTCATACCTTGTTTTAAGTCATATTACTTGCCAGAATTTTACTTGAGATTTAATAATGCTAAACGCTATAAAACGATTATAAGAAGCGTAAGAAGTTTTGTTCGAGTTTTAAGTTTGGTTTGTGTTCTCGTTATGGATTGATCTGGATTTGTAAAAATTAATGGAATTGCCGATCATTTAGTGTTTTGAAATTCTTGAACGGCTTCCTGTCACGGACACTCCTGAAAAATACTAAATGGCCGGCAGTTTCATTTTTTTCCAGGGATTGCTAGAATTTGATTTGAGGGATTTGGATACCGACAGGAATAGGGTACTAAAAAATAGAAAAGTTTTTACTGCTCTATATTCTATTATTTTAAAAGTCAAAAATAGATTAAACCGAAAAAAAAAAAAAAAAAAAARCAAAAGCGTGAGTAGGTATAAAGTTTATGTCACCCATCCAAGTGCTAACCCTCCCCAGACGAGCTTGACTCAGTATCTTGAATAACGACAACGATTTATCCAATGGACCACTGTTCCAGGTCAATCGGCACAACAATAGCCGTGAAAACAATGCATCAGATAGACTAGACTTTTTAGCAACATATTTTCAACCAATTCCGTGCGTGGCAGAGATGCAAGGGATTAGCCGATATGGTCTGGGGGCCGCCTGGTCTCTCCCCTGATGCTTTGGCTAGAACATTTTCTTGCGTAATTCGTACACCCAAGGGTTCTGGATTTAATTGCCGTCAGGTCCGAAGTCCATACGCCGCCTCAGCTCTGCGGATGTCTCGGGGGTATGGCAAAGTGGTTTTTAATTTTTTTTTAATTTCTTTTTGTGGGTTTGAATCTCATCTTGTCCACGTAAGTTTTTTCTTTTTTTTCAATCCATTTTTATTAGATTTTAATCTTCAACAATAAGCTAAAGCAATATTTTAGTGAAAAACAATATCTATTCCTAGTCGGTTGCTTATGAGCCTGTACAAGTTCGATCAGACGCGTACGTTATCAGTCATATAATATCCGCGAAAAAGTAGACCTATGCTTTCCTATCTTTCCTGGCAAAGTTTGCTGACAAGAACATTTACTGCACTTGGATCTCTTTATCATATACCCGCGGTTGGTGCCTTGAAGACTTCTGGGTACTATTAAATTTGCATTTTCTCACAAGGAAAATAAACAGCTATACCAGATAATAACATATTAAGAAATGGTCGTAAAAAGATACGAAAATTAATAAGCCTGAAGCGAGATGACGTTTTACCCCCAACTCTATACCATAATAGTTTTTAAAATTCTGTGAAAAGGATTATGGTCAAGAGACGGGGGTAAAACGTCATCTCGCTTCAGGCTTATTGGTTGACTGAAAAAATTGGTATACTCGATCTTGTTGCGTCATGGCGCAAGATCAAATAGCCAATGATGTACACGAGCACGAATCTCTAGCACCAAGCATGATGGGAAACCGAGTACTACACCCATCAGAACAAGGAAATCAATGGAATCACATTAAAAAAAAACTATTGTTTTTGTGTTGAAATACTTACAGTATTATAGGAAATGTCGAAGGAATTTTTTTTCAGATTTGCAAGAGGAGCTGAAAAACGTATATATTGTTTCCCATCATGCTTTGTTAGAGATGCGTGCTCGTGTACATTGGCTATTCACAAGCAGTGTGACATGTATAACGCAAAACTGTTTATATTATAGCCTAAAAAGGGACAGAAGCTGCAATTATTTTAATATTATTCAGAGAACACCTTAAGGGAGAGATCTTAGACGAGTTTGTCGACATTTTTTTCTGTTAAACATCCCATTGCTAGGCCTACGTGCATGATACAGGCAACCCAGTGAACGCCTATGGTGCGTCTTGTTGTTATATATGGTTATTTATTGATTTTCTCTCCCTAGTAGATTATAACAGAATGCGTGTAGCAAAGTTTTGGCGGGCGAGGGGGTTTTAAGCAGCACGTAAATATTTGGAACGCATTGCTTTTAAGATATTTAAAATTCCCTCAGCCACTCAACACATATCACAAGGAAATAAAAAAACATTTTTGGTCGGCTGCTCATATATTTGAAATGCTTACCAAACACCACGCTTAACCGCTGTCAATAGAAACATTGGTTATTTGGAAATTTGGGTAATAAAAATCATATTTCGCAAAATCACATTTTGTTTTACTAAGATAACGGGAAAATAAATACACATCAGTGTACATTGTTCATTCAAAATATACTACTTTGCATTAAATTCTTTATGCGTCTCTGATAAAAATCGAATAAAATTGTTCAAAAAAATGTATGTGTATTCGTATGTATACAGAAAATAAAATTCACGTCTCTTTGTTATGCTAGCGAGAATTCGCCAAACTTGGGTTCGACATCCGAATTTCCTGGCTCAATTGTGATTTCCTCATACTCAACGGGTCCAGACGTTCGTCCATTTTCTGAGATTTTTTTATCTACTTTTATTCTTTCTTCGTGTTCTTGGTCCGGGGCTTTTTCTTCAATGATTTCTTCTTTTATTGGCTCAAGGATGTGAAGGGGCTTCGACCTGGGCTGACCTGGTCGGCGTTTTGGTCGTTTTACGAAAGGCTGGAAACAAGATCCACTCTTATGACCGGCTTCAGCTCCAATATGACCATTGTATTTGCCTCTTTCCTCTGAATTTCGTTCATCCTAAAGGAACAAAATAATTAGGAACATTAGCAATATTTGTAGAAGATGTATAGAAAAGACATAAATAGGAGAAGAGAAGAGAAGAGAGGAGGGGAGGGGAGGGGAGGGAAGGGAAGGGAAGGGAAGGGAAGGGAAGAGAAGAGAAGAACCTAACCTCTGTCGCCAAGTTCGTATCTAGCTTTAGACTGTGAAAATAACAATAAACACATCATTATGTAAACAAATACCTGACTGTAATCAATAATGTTACGTTTGTATTTATACTTGTCATATAAAAAGATATAAAACAGTTGAATTATGAAAATATATTTTTATTATTTTGTTTATAAAGCCCCCTAGATTGATGAAAGGAACTGTTGTAGTAGTATATCCCTACAATTCAATATCACGTCTATCAGACTATACCTTCAAAATAGTGAAATAATCACTCCTGTTTTGATTAGAAAACAATTCCCATTTGTTATTTATTAATATAATTTATACGACAAAGTTCTTGCAATTAGGTGTATATTTAGGTTCATATGTCAGCTTAAGAATTTGAAGATACTTACATTCCGCCATCTTGGTGGTTTACACCTGAAAAAACAAAGTTGACAAATATTAAATTTCACTGGATGAAGAAATGGTTGGACCTAAAATTTCAAATTCACATATAAAAGCTATCAAAAACATCCCTTTTTTGCACTATTTCACTGCTGCACAACACTGTGTGTCTCCTCCAAGTTACAATATAGGAAATATGTTTTTGCCACTACATACAACCTCCTGGTTTAAATGTTAGTTTAAAATATATAGTATATAAAGAGATTTTTAAAAAATTGCTGATTTAGAAGAGGCATTACACTAGCAATAAAATAACACATACCTTTGGATCTTCTTTTTTTCCGCCATAAATATATTAAAAGAGCTACTATTACAAGCAACAGAATAAATATGATTGGTAAGCAAACCGCCAGCGCTATCGTACCTACATTGGGCGAGAAGAAAGAATAATAAAAAAGTGGATGTACTGATATTTAAAACATGTAGAACATATTAAAACATGGCCACTTGAAATTTATAAGTATGCCAACGGTGTACCCTGCTTATTAAAGGTGTTTAATAGGGTATATAGTTTGAACCCAGTGTGTTTTCATTTCCGTATTTTCATTCGAATGTTTATTGAAGTTAATGGATAAAACTGTAATACATTTAGGCTGAGAAAAGATACAATGTAAAGGAGTCAGATACTAATGGTATGAAGAAAATAAAAAATATCTTACTTTTAGCAGACGGTACGCTTGAACCTATACAAAAAAAAAAAAAAATTAAAAGTAAAGGTAAAACATTATCGTAAAGCAGATGCGGAATAATAACATAAAATGGTCAGATCTCACCCCATCTGGACCTGCCCAACCCCTTCGTGCTACTGTTGAAATGCGACCTTTGAGTCATAATAACCCACTTTTAAGTACTCAAACATACCTAGGCTGATATGGTAAAAGATGTTACACGGAACCAGATGTTGAATCGTGCATTGCTAAGCAATGGCTGATTTAGTAAAATATATTACAATATGGAACCCCGTCTTGTTAAGCAATAAATTATATTTAAATTTAATTCTATTCTATGCTCCATACATCAGTGTCATCATCTATGAATAACATGAATACCCTAAAATGCCTTGATTATTTACCTTTTTGAGTTTTTTCAATGATACTTGTCACATTTCCATAACCAACAAGATTCCTGGCTGAAATATTTATCGAGTAAATGGTATTTCCTTCCAATGCACCAATAACAATAAAAGTGTCCTTGATAGAAACCTCTTTTATAGGATTAGTGTTAATAGATATTTTATAGTCTATTATGGGACTTCCACCATTATTAGGAGCCCTTCGCCATTTGATATATATTGAAAATGGTTTGCTAGTAATTTCCCTTATCACTGGTGGGCCAGGAACAGCTAAATGAAAACAAAACAAATCACGGTTAACAAGTTAATAATGTTGATGAATGGATGACTTATAGCCTACTCTACCCTAAGCATACAATACTCTACTATATATTACCTTTCTCGACTTTAAATGACTCCTGCACTACTCTAGCATAGAGTGAAGGCACTTAACTTGTGCAAAAATACAAGTCAACGTGTGATAGTCAAATAGACACAAAAGAAAACAATGGAATTAAGGTCTACTAGAATAGTCTAATGTATATTGCAAGGGTTAAATGCCTTCACTCTATAACTTTACTCTATTTTACATTACTCTATCCTAATTTACTCTTCTTTACCCTGTTCCACTTTGCATTACTCTATCCTAATTTACTCATCTTTACCCTGTTCCACTTTGCATTACTCTACTCCACTACATCTGTACGTGTGTGCTCTACCATATTGCTTGTTTCATGATGATATCATTCTTGTTAAAGATTCCCTTTCATCCTTACTTCGATCCTTTGGTTTTGTTTTATTAATTTTTATTTAACAAACAATCACACAAGAACCTACCAATCTTATAAACCTTGTAAATCAACTCAGCATAGCCCAAAGAGTTGGTTGCACGGCATTTATATTCTCCATAATCATCGTCTTCCCTGGTAATCAATGTTAATAGACTTCCATCCTTGGTACTGCTAACACCATACTGGATATTATATCCATTCGGGTTTTTCCATGATATCACTGGTGAGGGATTACCAAAAGCCAGACAGTGTAGGATCACTAGATGGTTATTCCAGGAAGGGGCATTTAGTAATGTTGATGGTGCTACATCAACTGCAGGTCGATCTGTTGATAGTTAATGGTTCAATAAGAAATTGCAAAAATATCTATATTTTAAAAATATTTTATAAATAATCACATAAGCCAAGCAGATTTAAAATGCCTTTGTTGGCTCGTTTATATATATTATATATATCAGTATATATATATTTGCGTTAAATTTAAAAGGAATGAATCCAATTTCG